TAGAAAAGATGAAGGAGGTTGTTAACTGCATTTCATGAAATATTTATTAAACAACCAATATCTGAGTGAACTATTGTTTAACTGAAAAGCATTCTCCGAAAAACTGAAAAGGGACTTAGTGCTAAGTATCGTATGTTTAAATTGACCAATGACGCTATTGTTTATTTTGATGTGCTTGGGTGCATTCTGAGTTTGGACCAACTGTCATTGCCAACGACGTAAACATATTTGGGTAGATAAGAAGAACAAGATTTTTCCAACGACTGTATTGTTAATTCTCAAGCTGTACATTTGTATATATATAACATTTGAACACAGTAATCTGTAAGAATTATTTAACTTAAATAATGGGGGGGGGGGGGTTTGAAATAATAATGAAGGATAATGCGTTTATTTCCTGGAGTTTTTATGAACGCATCTAACCCATTGGTTCAGTAATTGCATATCTCTATGAATTGCCGAAAATTAATAAACCAGGGTTACCTCTTCCCCTAATTTTGGACATGTCAGATTCTCTGTATTATTGTATCGCTCAGTGGTTAGCTGAAATATTTAAACCAGTTAGAAGGCAAATGTCTCGTTGTTCTATTCGTGATGCATTTGAGTTTATTGATAGCATTAAGGATATTGACACCAAAGTTATTTTTTCCTTTGATGTCACCTCATTGTTCACCAGCGTATCAATCACTGAAACTGTTTGTTACATATGTGATTTCATCGATTCACACAATATCGAAGTAGGAATTCCAAAAAACTACTTGAGACAGCTATAGATGAGATACGCTTTTAATGTACAGTTTAGTTTCGATGGTGAGATATACCGACGAAACGATGGGATTGTAATGGAATCCTCCCTGGGACCTCTAATGGCAGATCGCTTTATGTCGAAAGTAGGAAATTCTAATCTTAGCCAATTTATTAATCATTTTGATCTCCATATACGATATATGGATGATATATTCGTTATTTGTTACTCAACTATCTATCTGGATGACATCCTATGCGAGTTTAACAATTGTCATTCAGCTTTGGAATTCACCATTGAGAAAGAATTGGAATCAGTTACTCCTTTCCTTGACGTGCTGATTACGAGGTGTAACAATGGAACACTGAAAAGATCCATCTACAGAAAACCCACGTGGAATGGATAGCTTACTAATTTCTATAGCTGGATGTCGATCATGAGGAAGAGAAACCTCATTCACGCACTCTGGTATCGAATACGTAATATTTGTAGCGTGCAAGTTGAACTTGACTTTCTAAGAGGGACGCTCGCGAAAAACGGATATCTTAGCCGATTAATCGATCAGAATATGCAACAAAGACGTGCAAAACCAGTCATCTGCCCAGTTTCTAAAAAGACTTCGTTCATGAATGTGGAATTCAAAGGCGATGCAGCATCAGATATCCTGAAACATTGTCTTTAGAGATCAGTTAGTAGGACCTTTTTCTCAGCTAAACTTCATTTGATCTTTATCAGCCGTAAATTGTTCTCCTTTTTTATAAAAGACAATATCCCTCGACAGGTCGCACCCATGTGTATCTACCAGTTCGTCTGTTCCTGTGGAGCAACGTACATCGACCATAGTCAAAGATTGCTATCAACACGTATACTAGAACATATTCTGGCCTGGTTTTAGAAGGATAAAAGGAAATGCATCGGAAGTTCTATCCTTGAGCATTTAATTGATTCCAACCATTCAGCCAACCCAAACAATGATTTTAAGGTTGTCTATCGAATTCACACAAACACCGCGTTTCCCCTGTGTTCAGTTTCAAAAAACAACTGAGGCCCCGGTTACCCATGAACTGAAGCCTGAGCTTTGTGTGCGAAAGGAGTATGAACAGCCTTTGTCTGTACCTTGGCCTTAACTTATTTTAGTCTAGGTGTACTTCGCTTCTTTTTTGTGTTTCATCCCCACTTTTTTTTGTCAGATTAATCATTGGACTCTTATATCCTAAGTATCACTTTATTTTATATTTAATTATTCCCGGTGTTATTCCATTCGATCTTCCTAATAATCGCAAGTTTTAACGAAACATTTTCAGTTTATTCCAGTTTACTTGTCTCACTAATATTACCTAATCTTTTGGTTGCTCATAAACTATATCACATTTTCACCCCTTTCTAATCTAAATTCACCTAGGAACGACTTAAAAATATTACGTATCCCTTTTTGTTATCATTCGACCGTCATCAACTAGGAACATCATTATTATACAGCTTTTACGGTCTTTAAATATCAGATATATATATATATATATATATATATATAGGTTGGACTAGACATTCTAGAATGCGATTTTGAGGTTTACGGGGATATGTTTATTGGTTTCAGGTTGGCATTCATCACAGACTGACATTAGTTGGAGAAACACTGGAAACGTATGAGCACTGAACAGTTTTTCGTCCTAGTATGGAACTCCTCAGCAGAGCACACCAACTATTCCATTACGGATCGTACGCAGGACCTTTAAGCCATACGGTCAGCACTTTAATATTGAACAACTGGGTTGGCATCCAATAGACCATATTTCCAACTTCTCTCAGTTCATGATATAGTGCGACCTCCATTGAATTCCGTCGTTGAATAACTGTCCTCATTTTCGGCTTGGTCGACCCTAACGGTCAAGATTTTTCATTGGAATCTCAGGAATTATTCTGTGATACAAAATCCACGTTCCCGACCACTTGCTTTCAATTTAAACCTTTTGAGAGGATATAACTACAAACAGTTGAATAACTTCTTTGTATCGTATATTCATATATATATTTGCTGTTAGTCTTCTCTTATGAAAACAAGATAATGTTTGGTGATGCATGTTCTGAGGATCCATTTAAAGTGTTTAATGTAGACGGAAGCGTGTAGACTGACAGATACACGTGAAGGAATACTATACTTCACATATGATTGAATCAAACAACAGCTTGGTAATACTAAATGAAAGCTAATACAATAGAAAATGTAGTTGATGAATTTCAACTGAGTATTATTCAGAACTTCAGCTAAAATTTCCCCTCTAAATCCTAAAGGCATAATGAAATCTTCTTACAACTGTAGCTTAATCAGATGAAATTGGCATGTTTAAGCTTCGATAAGTATCAAATATACAGTAATATTTTTCTGAAAGTTCTAAGCTCTTCACCTACCGTACTGTTTGAGAAAAATAGTTAACAAAAGAGGCTGATTTTTTCACTAAAAGGTATTTAGCTGCTTGAGCACTCTGTAGTCTAAGACAACATGCAATGGACGAACGCATGCAGTGAAACCTTGTTTCTCCTCTTTGAGTTATATATAATACGTGAATATATATGAAAATAAATCATTATATCCTCTGAGAACTTAATCTTCCTTCAGTGTTGAAAGAATAAGGTCAACAAATACTCCATATTATTAGGTTCATTGTATCGTGGGTAGGCACTTCTCAGGAGTGTAAAAACAGAAGAAAACTGCTGTTCACTTTTCCTAGTTTATTATTGGTACTCCAAATATTATCGATATATGATTAAAAATCTCCCTGGAAAGCAACTGATCCATGTGAACTATTAGTTAAATCCCCTTCCCTAAGAATTGTTGAATTGCTTTGATATGGATTTTTCAAAGTCCCAACGAGAAGCTGTTAGGTGTGGAGTGGACGAAGTCAGGTGTAAGGGTAAATAGACATGGAAGATATTAGACAGTTACCTCGCTCTATATAGAGACTTAACAGAAACAGAAAAATGTAGAAGACTTGACTCCAGTCCACCGACTGAATGACAACGATCTCAGTCTAAGGTCTCGTGACCTTTGACTCGATTTCTTGGGGGATCGTGGGTACACATGACTGAAGAAAATTGGAGTGGGATGAAACAGACTTGCATTGCTTGCAGATCTTCAGTCACTCCATGAAAACAACTACCTTTAACTCAAGAAATCTTTCCAAACCACGAATTGAAACGATATTACTTCGTGAATTTCTATCAAGCTGGTTAGTAGACTTTGTGATGATAATCACTATGCGGTATAATGTTTGATCCCCATATGTAGTGCAAATTTAGAGTCAAGCTGTTCCTCTTGCATATGATATTGTTCAGCATACCAAGTTCATCTAAATAATGCTAGAAAATGAACACTCTGAATTATGACTTCGGTTAGCAGTTGGTCTATTTTGTAAACAATTTGGAAAGCCCGCATATCTAAATTTCCATGCACAAGTTTTAGGCTGTCTTCTTTCTTCGTTTCCTAACCTTTTGGGTTTGAAGCTACTGATCGTGGAGTTGTTTTATATTGGAAACCACATCACTCACTGGAAGACAGGTGGGTTCACTCAAGCAGGATGGAACGTGTGCCCCAGATTCCCCAGACAGCTAATATTTATCATTAAAATCAAGTTGATTTATCGTTTCCTTTTTTTGCCGTTCTCATAAGCATTCCTCATCATTCCGTTTTCATTCAGAAACAATATGCATTGTTCTGTCAGTCTAGCACAGAGCCATCTTAAGCGTTTACTGATTTGCATAAATTAGTTATGCATTCTGGCTATCAAGCTACAAAACTCATCACAGTCTGCTCAAGAAATAAAATTCTGTCAGCATTTAGGCTTAGAAAATATAATGATAGCCAATCTTCAGTGACTAATCAATCAACGACGATTACCAGCAATGCTGAAACCTAATTTCAGAAACTATTGCTGCTTTCTCTCAAAAGTATTCTTCTTTTAACCCTGATGCCTAGTATGAAAATCATGTAACTATATATCAGTGACACAGAAAGGCTTTCTCACATTGATATGATCTTCTTTTCAATCAATAACTAAATGACATAAGAATTTAGTAATGACTAAGAAATAAAAAACGGTTTTTTGTTGAAATGAATCCTCACTATTGAAAAGTAACTTATGTTTATAAAATAAACTACTGGAATAACCGAAAGGTGTCTGTATTTATGACTGGTATACTATTACTGAACAGATTTCTAAAATCTTTTTCGGTTCAATCTACACAATATATTCACAGGTACCTTGAAATAGTTAAGTACAGGAAATTCAAAATACATGTTGACCATAGAGTTTTCTCGTTGAAGCGTTGAACACTGACTCCTTGAAAAAGATAAAGATATATATATATATATATATGTCTATAAACTGAAAAGCAAGGTGACTTTAAAAAGGTTTACAGTGAGTTCTATTGATGAAAACAACTAAACAATTCGACGAAATAATATTCCTTCCTCTTCATTATTTGATATTGGCTTACGTTGGTGAAGCTACAAAATACCTGTCAGAAGACCGGAAGTCATATAATCGGCAGCTTAATCTTCATGCCCTGTAAGTTTCATCATTTTTAGGTTTCAATCTTCTGAATTATTTTTATTTGTCCCATGGTTTCCTAGTGGAACATAGAGATTCAGTAGCACGTCTCCATTGCACTCTCTTCTCTGTAGTTCCCTTAATCTAGTTCCACCACTGCGCACAAGCCTTCATTTCTTCCTCACACTTCTCCTTCATGTCACCCTTGCCTCGGAAGCCAAACTCATCGTTTCACATTTAGGTTCCACTCGACTGTCTGGCCTAGCCTGGTCTGATGCTTGACGTTCCCAAATGGTCTTTTCAGTGTATGCCTAATCCATCCCCACTTTCGTCCTCTACATATTTGTTGAGCGATGGGTTCTTGGCTGGTTCGTTGCCAGCCAGCCAGAATTCCTTGTTGCTTATTCTTTCTGGCCATCTGATTTTCAGTATAGTATCGAGTGAGCGTATATGGCAGCTGTTGATGAATATCTGTAGTTTGTTGAATCTTTTGGATGAAGCCTATGAACTTCTCAATATCATCTGTAGTATACGTCAACTTTCTGGACGTCAGAATCCTTCTCTAAGATAATTGTAATTCGTGAGTATTGATGATATGACGAGAACATCTATAGTCTGAGCCTTAAAGGCTCATCACAAAACTGTAACGCCATCCACACAGTTCATCATCATTTACATTTCAAATTACAATGCGTTTTTAGAATGGTTGTAGAATATTTGATTATACTTATCTAGAACAAAGTTCTGGATTCAGTTTTGACGCTTGCACACCGTCACTTATTTGCTCAAAAAACTTCTAGGTCCAGTTTTTCAAATGTCGTAGTATTTATATATATTCTGCCGTCAGAGAATGGAAGCTCTTTCTCCTAAGTTGGGACGTTTTAGCAAAACAACCCCATGACCATTATAAGAAGTGTGAAACCACTCAATTATTGGTCTGAAACCCAGTGGTTCACATTTTCTAAGTCTTCTGTGCGCGCTACCTGGAAGCACTATCCTGGGATGGAACAACTGTCCAGTGTTTCTAGTTTTTCGATGATTCTCCAACTGATGTCACTCCCTCATGAAAACTATTCTCAAGTCAGACAGTCTCAGTGACTACGAGCTGCTTACTTATATATCTAATAGAAGCTCGTACACAAGTGTTTTATCCCTTTGGAGACTCGTCGGTTGCATGTACCTGCATTTAAGCGTGTCAATGCGCCGAATACGACTTCTACACAGCACCCATGTCCTCGGGCACTAAACTCTTATTCACTAACTCGGCAACTTAAGATAGCTGCATTTTGATCAACAGATTTCACCTCACTGCAGAAATTACGCGACTTTTCTTGTTGTTGGTATGCAGGATAGAATCGATGAGTCTCCGAAGACATTTGAGATCTTTGTATGAACATCTCAGCGATCTAGTTTTCACTGTATTCTTTGAAATTATTCTCCCTTATGAATTATTTAAATTTTATTTTTATTCAGTCTACAGCCCAGAAAACTGCTTAGTGAAATTAAGAACTATTTTATACTGGGTGATGACTGAAGGTGGAATGAAAATTTGCAACGCGGCCGGATTCGAACCAGAAACCACCCTGTGCTCTACCAACTGAGTTATGTGGTCCCACTGCTGACCAGATCTATATTTTACTTCAATTATCAAGAGTTTTGCCCCACTGTCATGTGAATTCATGATGCGTTACTATCACTTGATCGTATTCACACTGGCTGCCTACTTAGGACTTCTCATCCAAATCCAAATCTAACTGAATCAGAGATGGACAGCATCATATTGATTGCCATTTTGACTATCTGAGTAAGATAGCTGTAGTTTGGCTAAGAGGTCTGACTGCTGACCAGAGCACCAGGCCAGTAACCCGGTGGTCTCTGGTTCGAATCGGCTGCAGTCCAGATTTTTATCTCACCTTCAATCAACTCCAGTATAAGTACTAGTCTCAGATATCAGACAGTTAAGTGAAAATTATATTATCCTTCTAGGACATTGCACCGAAACATTTTGATACAGGTTACAAAGTCTACATCAGAGTGATACTTACTTAGGTCTCAATAGCCAATGTAAGGATAAACTAGTCTTTCAATTATATTTTATCATGTCAAGTGATTTATCGTATTTCATGTGAATTCTTAAGTTCAGTTTAAAACGCTTTCAAAGTGCAGCGACATTGCTACTAGACCCAGGAAATCAGTCTCCTACAATGTTTAAGAGATTAGATAACAATTACATTGCGAAAGTGGACTAATAGCTTTTGTTTTCAACATTAATCAATGATTGTCATTGATTAACACGTTTGATATGCTATTTAGAAATGATGTTTGTTTAAACAAACTAACTGGCCATTTAGTGAATGACCTTGAGTGGCTCCTGATCATCTAATAGTTCTCTTGAATTTAAAATTTGGCGTTACACTTATTTAGCATCGAATATTTAACATATTCTTAATTTCATCTTAATATAGTACCCGGAAGCAGAACACACTCAAGACTCAAACAGAGATATAACTTAGGCCTTTCAGAGTTGTGTTAGAGTTCATTAGTCCACAGCTTCCAGATGGATATCCCAAAAGTTCTAATGCAAAGTCGTGACCTGTGGGGTCAACTAGTTGAAAGTGAGACGGATGATGTACTTGGATGACAGTCACACGATATTATGAATTGACAGAATTAGTAAACTGTAGAGCATTTGGATGCGGCCTTGTGGTTGAGCACTGAACACTGTCATGGGGGAAGTGGACTTCCTGAATTATTTTTACAGAGGGTTTGTGCGTACATCCCGCTTCTGAGTCACATACTAGAACAAAGCAACCGTTCAGTGCTTTCAGCTTTTCAATGGTTCTCAAGCTGAATTAAGTCAGGCCTGGAGGAATAGAACCTTAAGTAAAGGACTCCTATAAACCCCAAACTATATAATTCACTCGTGCACTTCATCAACCACTTTTTCAGCATTCTCACCTTGGTAAGGTTTAAGACGCTGCGTTAGCTAGTTCAGTCTACTTAATATATCTTATTGCTGAAAAATTACTTCTTTGAAATTCAGTTTCTGTAGGTTTATGGGATTTATTTGTTGATTTCAAGTTGGTAGTCATCACGGACTGATATCGATTGGAAAAGCAGTGGGAACCTAGGAGCACTGGAGAGCTGTTTCGCCCCAAAATAGAGTTCCTCATTAGCACGCACCCACGACATTACCAAAGATCAATTTCAGGGTCGTCAGTTTCTGAAGCCGGTATGTTACGAATGAGCCAATGCAGCGGAATCTACAGGTCAACATTTTCCTACCTCTGATGATTCATGGTATAGCGCATTTTTCATCCACCGTAGTCGCCGGATACTTGTCTTCATGTTTGACTTGGTCGTGCCCACTGGCCAAGGTTTTTCATTAGAACTTCAAGAATCTCATCTCGAAGGAAGTCACCAATGAGGACTAGAAATTAAATTAGTTGCAGAGGAGTCCTATTTTGCGATCAAATAACTGTACTGCACTCTCATCCTCTTCAGCTGATGCCTATCCATGATAGTTATCAACTAGAAAACTTCACTGAAATTTTGAATGAAGGTGAACTGGTCCTAGTTTACCTAACTGGTAACTTTTAAAGATTTCTAAATTATTCATTGACTTCTGAAACCATCTCGGTTAGTGATATACTCAATAGGTATTCGTTTAGGTTAATTATCTGTCAAAGCTGAAGTGAAAACATACGCGCCTGATGAAATTATCACGGATCATCTAATTATCTCTTTTTCTTTAAAATTTTTAAAAAAAATTAAAAGCTTAATTTGAGTAAATCATTAATTAGGGTAATGTGTAATAACCTATAATTAGGATTGGAATTTCATAACTGTATTACATTATATTATCAACTTACCCTTGCTAATGAAGTCTGCATTAGATGCAATGAGAAATTAGTATTGGTATAGATTTTATAGTTACTGTAATTTGTTAGACTGGTTTATTTCTGAATTTACAAAAACCCACTGGTTAAGAAATTTTATCGTTTTCGTATCCCCCTATTACTTTGAAATAGAAACTTGCTCGAAATATATGTTGCCGCTTATGTTCACACCTATATTTATCTATAAATTTAGCGTGCTCCTGTAAAGATGACCATAGTGAACCCTGTAAATAGATTCTTGAAAAACATGTAGTAAAACATTAATCGCCCAAATTAACTGAATGTGTGCAGAGAACAACACATTATGCCATATTATTATTATTATTTGTGCCTTGAGTTCCTAGTGAAACATAGAGATTCAGTAGACTACCTTTTGAACCTGGCTCTACCACTGCCAACAAGCTTTCAATTCTTCCTCACACTATCTCCTCCATCTCACCCTCCACTCGGACGCCAAAACTCGTTGTTTCCCACTTGGCTCCCACTCGACTGCCTGACCTGACCTGGCCTGAAGTGTGATGTCTCCAAACCGTCTTTTCAGCCTATTTTCAGTTCACTCCAATCCAATCCATCTCCGCTGTCTTACGCATATTTGTTGGGTGATAACTTCTTGGTTGGTTGGTTGGCCAGCCAGCCAGCCAGCCAGCCACAGACTTCATACTGAAGTTAGTGCTGATGATGTCGTCTAGAAGGACGATAAAAGCTTCACGATTAAATAACCTAGCTAAGGGAACACAATACAACCAAGACCATTCACCTGAGCTACAAATATTCTCCACTGTTTCACAGTTCCTTTTTGTTTATTCTTATTATTCTGGCCATCCCATCTGATCCTTAGTGTCAGTATCGAATGAGTATGGGTGGCAGCCGTTGATGAATGTCTTTAGTTTGTTGGAAATGCTTTTCGTAATGCACCAAGTCTCTCAACCATCACATAGAAGCACTGACTTGACGTTGATGTTGAAAATCCGGATGCAGTTCATGCTTTTTGCTGAGTGCAGTGCAGTAAGTCTCCACATTGATTTCAGGCTAATGGAGACCTGTCTTGCTATGTTTCCGATCCTGGCTTTGACATCCTCATCTGTGCCTGTGCCACCTGTAGTTGAAACGATGCTGCCTGCCTAGGTAGGTAGGTGAAAGAGACTACTCCCCTTAGGTACCATACGGGAACATACAATGCAACCAGGTCATTAAACGCATCGGAAGACATCTTTTTAGATAATTTGCAGTACTAAACTGAATGAGTCCGAATAGTCTATCATACCACCACTTTTGCCTAGCTAAAACACTAGATATTTACGCTCAAAAGCTCAAACAATGGGTTGAAGAAGCACTTTTAAAACCACATTTTCTAACCTGGCCTTAACAATGACCTCTTGAAGAAATATTATATGTCACGGATTGACTAACGTCTGCTGGAGAACCACTGAAAACCCGAAAGCACTGGACGACTTTTTCGTTCAATTATGGGCCTCAGAAGCAAGACGCATCCCTGTACCTACCAGAGATATAACTATGAACCATTAGTTGTCACGGCAAGTGTGTTCACCATTAAACCTTCTTCGGTTAGTGCTGGATATATTGCAACTAACATCCAAGTTCACCAGTTAGCACCCAGTTCACTTCCGACTAAGTCTGTTCTTGGCTGCATTTCGTTCTCTGAACTAGGTTGTTTAATCCTGGAGCTTCCATCATCTTGCTACACGACATCATCAACATTAACTTCAGTATGAAGTGAGCTAACAGTGAGTGATTCAGTACCTTGCTCCAACCAATTGCTTCGTGACTGGTTGTTTCCCTTGATTGTTGTATCACTCACTGACTGTACAGATTTTCCGATTGTCTGTTCCTCTGCTTCACCTCTTACCTTTCTGCCATTTATTAAGTTTGTGTGTATTCATCTATTGATTGATGATTGACTGACTGAGTGACCTGAATCTCAAGCTTCTAGGAATTATCTAATGTTCTTTATGTTTCCTCTCTCCGTTCAAGATTTCTACATTGTCGGAATTGAATTTATATTCATAATTATCCACGTGCATTTAAATGAGTGATAAAATGTCATGCGTGACGTTTAATAGCCAATTGGTGTTCGTGTAGATGAAGACGAAGAGAGTGACCACTTTTTTCAATGTAGTGTTGAGTACAGTTATTGCAGTTGATTTTGTAAATGACATTCGGTTTCCAGTCTTCGTTTGTTGCATCCGTTGGTCTGCATAATAGTGTTTGGAGGGAATTTCTTGGTTTATGAGCCATACTAATTCCAAGTGGCCTCAGTAATCTGTTGTTAATTTTATCTTACTTGTTATTTTTTTTAAATTTTTTCTTTTATTCTCCCCCCAATATAAATTTGCTTAAATTAAATAAAATTTACAAATTTTTAAATTAATATTAATTTTTCTTTTAGTGAAACAAATTTTATTATTGTTAAAATTTTAAAAACAACCTTGAACCATGTTTTCAGACAGAAATTTAGAGGTGGAATTACTACCTTTTCCTAATAAAACCAGCTAGTGTCAAAAACCTTATGGTTGCTGAATAGGTAGGAAACTATCTAAAATAGTTTCACATAAGTAATCATCTTCAAACTTCAGTTACGCAATATTATCCACCATTTTTTTCTTTTAGTGAGAAATAAGAATAATTCTGAACCATAGAGGCTTTCCTGCAGATTTCACTATGTAAATTACAGTAAGCAAAACATCCGAAAATCATGCCATTCACATAGAGACGAACTCATCAGATAATATTTGATCAAATAGGTTATTGATTTGCATCAGTTGTAAGTGGACAAGTGATATGGATTAAAATGGGGTAGTACAAGATGGGTGAACGCCGTGGAATAACCAGTAACAGCATGATTCACCTTGATATCTTCTGTGGTTGGGCAGTTTCCTGACCAGCCGGTGATACTTTTATTTGAAAAACATAGGTGCAATCAGATATTGGGGTCGTTGGTAAAATAGTGTGATGCACTGATAGGACATTAACTTAAAACGACAGGCAGAACCAGTTAATCTGAACATCAGAGTTTTTCCTATTGTCTTAGGCTGACTTCATCAATGATATACTCTCACATATTAACCTCAGAAGGCAAAAATATTTGGATCCTGTATATCCTACCATCTGACTTGCAACTGCCAATGATATTTATAGATAACCTAAAACCTTATCCATCTTATTCATGCTTAATTACTTCTTTTCAACTAGATGGTTAGATCTATGTGTTTTGAATAATTCAGACTTGGTATGAGACACCATTGATTAGATCAACACAGATGGATAAAATAATCATCTTAAGTTGTTAAAGTCTGGAAACTGACACTATAATTGACCGAATTCGCTTGCGAGGAAACAGGGTAACCGAAATCTTAAATAATTCTGACGTAAAAACAAAGGATAAATCCTTCCGTCCCTTTTGTGTTATATTTTGTACGATTAAACCGTATTTTTTCCTTATTCTTAACAAGTAATTCACCCCATTTTTTTAAAACTCATTTTTTAAGCACTGAACATTTTTGATAGAGCTCAACTTTAGAAGCTCTGAATAGTGCCCAAATTTATTTCATTGACTGAACTAACATCAGGATCAATAAAAGACGTTAACCATCTATGAAGTTAACAAAGTGAAGTATTGGGAGGAAGGCATGCAAGGGACATAAATGATGACTACTATGTATCACAAGCTGATAGAAGCCCATCTCAATTCAAGCTATTCACTATTTGTATAGTTGAACATAGATGCTTCAAAATATCTGCCTCTAACGAAAAGTTAAAACACACTGCAGTCCATGCAAGCAAGTTTTCATCTCATACATGTTATCAGATAAATGAAACAGTCATTTCAAAGTAACTGAATCTATGCCCCAGTCAGTATCAAAGGAACGCCGTCGTAGTATACAAAATACTAACCAATATGCTTAAACAGCAACTAAGGTGAATAGAAGTGACTGAGAAAAACAAAATCTCCTTTAGTTTTGTCAATAATGCCCAATCAGTTAGGTGTGTGTGTCGTATAGTCTCTTCCTGCCGATTGCCTCCAACCAACTAACATCTACTAATGTGCACCGCGATGCTGAGCTTCCAAGCTTGGTCGTCACATTGCAAATATGATCAACCGAAGTCGACTGGATCATGCAACAAACTGTGAGGAGCTGTGAGAAGATGACATACACTGTTTGATAGATGGAAATACCCTACAACAGGACCTAGATTTCGCCAATGATGATTTATGTCTAACGACTTGTCACACAAAATCGAAGATCTACAGGCAAAAACCAACAAGTAGGCAGAAGAGGCAGGGCAGGGCAGGGCAATGAAGGAAGATGGAACCTCATGCACGCGAACGTGGAGAACAAATAGGTGATGAAGGTACACAAACAACAACAATAGCAACAAAAATAAGCACTAATCCATATCATCGGGAGAAATCGGAAGGAGGTGGTCTCTCTCAACTACCTAACTAGTGAGGCAGCATCGTGTCAAATACAGACGGTGACACAGGCACAGATGAGGATGTCAGAGACAGTCAGGATCGGGAAGACAACAAGACGGGCATTCATGAGCCTGAAATGATCAGGGTGGAGTTCTATTACACTACACTACACTACACTCCACTGCACTGCATTCAGCATAAAGCGTCAACAACATCCAGATTATCAACATTAGTTCAGTCAAGTAAGTCAATGCTTGGCGCGTTACGGAAAGCATTTCCAACAAACTACAAACATTCATTAACAGTTGCTGCATACACTCACTCGATATTGACACTGAAGATCAGATGGGATGGCGAGAATAATAAGACTAAGCAATAAGGAACTAGACAACATGAATTTGGTCCACTCCCAGGACCAATGAATGTATGTAAGCCAGTCGTACAGGAGGTTAATCGCGGCCTGAATAGCTCAGTGGTAAAGTCACTGACTACAACACTGTGTGCGTGGATTTGAATCTCAGTCGGGACATTAGTTCCGTCTAGGTTGCAGATACGCCTTGCTGTCGAGTGCTAGAAAGCGGGAAACCCAGGTCAGGCAGGGCTTCCTGCCGATTGCCTCTAACCAACTAAAATCTACCAGTGTGCACCTCGATGCTGAGCTTCCTAGCTTAGTTGTCACATTAAAAATATGATTGATAGGATTTCGTCTACGCTCATGAAATTGGTTGCACTCCGATGACCAATCAATACATAGTCTCTTATTAGACTGGGTCCTCAGTGAATCGAGATTTTGATGAAAAAATGTACTTTTGAAGACTTTGTGTCTTACTTGACGATTAAAACAAATGCCTATCTTAAAATCAAATTGAGACATATATTTTTTGAATTAAGTAGACAGAAGTTAGCTAGCTATTTCGCGAAAGTGACCAGAGTAACTTTTACATACACAAGAGACGCTATTGTAGGAATCAACGTAAAGGGAATTCTGGTTGATAGCTATTGATTTGTCAGAGCACAAAGCTATCATATGAAGCGGTTTTAATATGACAAAAAATCATGTATCAAAATATACCTTAAGTATTTATTTATTTACATTAGTCATGACTACATCAGCAGCTGTATTTCTGCCTAGACTACGGTTATCGATATCTACGCATAGTGGCCTGTTAGTTGAAGTGAGGACAGAACAAAAGAAGCTGTAGATTTGTGAAACTACCGATTGGTATCGATAAATAAAGTTTCTCACTTATTGTGGAGAAATGTAAACTTCTTAGTTGAAGTCAGTAAAACAAAAGGTACTGTTGGTTGAAAAATTTAGGGTAAATTATTGATAACAGTTCACAATGTCAGAAGTACATCTAAATACTGAAAAGGCCTTTCTATCTTACTATACTAGCTTCACTTAATTCCGTTTTTTAATTTATCACTGTACATATATGGTTATTTTCTTTTTTTTTGCTTACGTCGTGTGTGATAAATTCACTGAAGTGGGAGTTGAATCAAGTTCCATGTTATTGATACCCGCCTGTTTGTTGCATAGGCTCTGCACTGCCTCGGATCAAATAATAAATTACAATCCCTTTCTAGACTGATAATTCATTATTAAATATACTGAACTTTTGCGAAGCATAATATCTACTCTGTAGATTCATAAGGAAGCTAGGAACTGCAGAAAACATGCAGAAATAACCAAAATCTCGTAGAATCTTCCTAAAGAACTACGTGATTATTTGTATCATTGTCTTATTGGGTATATTCATGGAAATCGATGATTATAGTGTCATAAAATGAACCAGTAATGCCACTTGTGGATATATATAGCCGACCTGGCAGAAAATCTTCTCTCATTTTACTCCTTCCTATGTTTTCGAAGAATTAAGTAACCATAATGTCATGCTAAAGTGTAGATTGAACAACCAACAATTTGATTTGTCTTGAAAATTATCTGATCAGCTATTAAACGTCACGAAATTTCATCACTCGTTTGAATGAATGTGGACAAAAACTATAGAGATGAATTCGAATTCGACAATGTAGAAATCTTGGACGGAGAGAGGAAACCCAGCTAAGAGAACATGATACAACCAAGACCATCCACCTGAGCTACAAATATTCTCCATCATTTCAAACATTAAGAGTATCAAAGAATTCCTAGATGCAATTAATAGATGTATAGACGTACACCAAATCTATCAACCAGTAAGAAGAATGATGAACGACAGAAAGGTGAGAGGTGAAACAGAGGAATAGACAACAGGAAAATTTGTGCAGTCAGTGGGTGATACAACAATCAAGGGAAACAACCAGTCACGAAGCAGTTCGTTGGGGCAAAGTACTGAATCACTCACTGTTAGCTCACTTCATACTGAAGTTAGTGTTGATGATGTCGTGTTGCAGGATGATGGAAGCTCCAGAATTAAACAACTCAGCTCCAAGAACACAATGCAACCAAGATTATCTGATTTCTATAACTGTATCAAGTAGACACAATCGAATAATTCAGTGAATACAAGCTATTCAAACTTCTTGAAAGGTCTTTTTCAAGTTGAAATAACACATAATATACTCACAACACTTGATAACATTTTCGCCTAAAACAGACGCCGTATTAATGGAGTGAAACAACTTTTATATATATTGATAAATAATGTTTGTTTCAAATAAATATCACTATCTCCTTTCTAATATAAACAATATCAGTAGAAAAAACTTATAGCTGAAAAATATTTACTTTGTATCCAATTTCCGCATTGCAGACTCAACTGTACAAAACCTCTTTAAATCAATTACTCAACAGCAGATTAGCCTCTCATGAATTGTACCATATATATTTCGACTAATTTTTACTGTATATTTCAATAACTTCATAGTTTTCTACGTTGAATGGGAACATTTGAGAACTTGTTTACAAAATGAAGTTAATAAAAATGTGTAATAAGTTTCACACTAATGGTCGAATGATGTCAGTGATATGCTTCTTGGTTTTTAAAAACTGTTAGAAATATACCATCACTTGTCAGTTATTTACAGAAGGAATTCGATAAAATTAAAGAATGAAACCACCTTCAGAAGAAAAGATTTCAGTAAATGATCATTTACTTTTTCAAGAAATAATAACAAGGTTCTTGTTAGTGGAATTTCGCGTCTAGCACACACAATTTTTACTCTTAATGGAAGAAATACATTATTTATTGGTACGAGTAGTTGGAACCCTTTCAAATCCATCAGTAGAATCTACTGACTAGATAGTAGTGATGTAGACAGTAAAATCATCAAAACGTTTTAATTAAAAAGTATATCATTGGTGTACTTAGATTAATTCACCTGAGGAATTTAAAAAAGGCTACTAGATATAACACTCAGTATGACAGTATTGTTTACTAGATAAACAGAAATTCAGTTAACAATCTCTCCCTTCACCCTGTTATGTTAGTTTTAAAGATTTTCACCCTGTCCTATCCTATTGCATGGTTGTGTATAAGTGCATGGACAGCATGAATAGCTATGGCCAACCTTTCTTCTTGACTCTCTATCTTACTAGGATCAACTAATTTTGACTGAGCTGCATATTTTTGTGCTGACCGTGGTTGACTACTCTGATCTGTGTATTTGAACAGACAATCGTTGCAATGGATTTGGTAAACTAGGTTATTCAGCCTAACTGGATCTATAAGATCTGTTGACTTGTCAAGCTTATTTCTGAGTGAGTTTTTAGGTTTAAATGCCACTGTTATCCCAGTGGCAGAGTAATTGAGAATCCTACGAAGTGTTTCTGATATGCTTTCTTTGTATGGTAATACTGTGGAGGTTTCGACTGCTCTCTTCACAGTACTACCACTACTATTATTAACATTATTATTACTAGTATTATTAGTGCTATTATTCCCCCTAGTGATGCTACTATTATTATTACTACCACTAATTGGTAGATCTTAGTAAGGTGAAGGATTTAGATAAAAGCTCAGCCATAGCTGTACATGCAGTTACACACAACCACACAATAACATGGGACAGGGTCAGAATCCTTGAAACTAGCAAAGCAGGGTGGAGAGTAAGATTGAGAACTGAATCTTAGTTTATCAACTCCCAACGCATACAGCAACAGGAATGACTCAGCACCTGTTCTGATAAATGGAAAATCTTACTACCCATTTCACAAAGGAGGCGAGGAAATGGGGACTATATAAAGGATGTCTCAAAGTTGTGTAGTTATCTTGATATGACTGTGGACAATAAATTATGTGCGAAACGCAATCGAGTAAACAATACTGATATATTGTGTGATAAATCTAATAAGTCAATGAAAATGTAATTACACTTCTCCACAGTGCACAAGTTTTAGTCATATTAAAAGGCTACCCTTGTCATTCAGAAGTGTGTACTGGGTAGTTTAATTTTGAACTTGATTCCCTTATCGAAAATTGCATATTGAATTATTCTGTCAGATACAGCATACTTTTCTATCTTTAACTTGAATATGAGCAAAAACGTTTGCTCAAAACGTCATGTACTAAACCATGCTGTATCACTGTGTATTACATAACATAGTCACGGCGGCCTGTTTGAATTTTGGGTTACGAAATTTATTCATCAAACATTTTTACACGAATTTTTTTTCTTTTGTTATGATAAGGCCACTTTCGTGGATTTTGTTTGGTTGTAAGCAGTTGACAGAAAAGCATATCTGCAGCCCGGAAGGAAATTTTGTTCCTTACTAGGTTGCAGTCTGCATAATCCAGTGATGTAATCAGTGACGTCACCGCCTAGTAATTTGGGCTTCATAACAAATCAGCACCCAATCCTTAGCTGATAAACCTAGTCGAAAATTTTAATCCTTGAAAAACTTGATTGATCAGGAACTTTGGCCAATAATGCTCAATGTCCTTGCCGAAGATGTCATCAGTCAGCTGTTATTGTCGCAACTGTTTGGATGACTTGTTAGGAAATTCAACTCGACTTGACATCATTCAAGTCTTGATAGGATAATTAGTGGTGTCTTCTGCCACATTACTGAGCGTTTTGAGTTAGAATCTTCATGGAAACTTTCTCTGAGTTATGGCTGTAGTGATGACGATATACAACTGTTCACTGTTAAATGCAGTTTAGATGTAATGCTTGTGATTACACACCCGTACATGAATCTGTCGGGATTATGATTTTCGAACCCTACCCCGTCAGCAAGTTATTCACTGATGTAAGTCATTATTAATTTTAAGTTTAAGTAAGGCAGTTTCAATAAATGTTTACGTTTATTCCACTACTACTACTACTACTTTAAAGTTCACCCTAGCACCTACTAGAGTGGTCAGTAAGGTATACCTCAGTGAAAAGCAAATATATATATACATCAGCAAAAAATTATTTTCATTAACTTCATCCTCACACTCTATACTTATAAACTGAAGGATATTGTTATATAATATCTGGGGCGAGGCTTTCTTTAATCAAAATGCACGAATCTGATTGGTTGTTTAAGTGATTACTGAGGTGGGTCTTGAAGTCACCCTTTTTATTTTTAGGTTACTTGTTACATATATCAACAAGTGACTCACTCTCTGTACAGATTACTCTAACTGTTCAAAACAAGAAGTATCAGTAACAAAACAGTATTATTCTAGAATAATTTGAAAGAAGAAAGCGATTTTGTACCTACTGTTTTTTTTTATAGATCACTTACGTTGTTTATTTGGACCTGAAAGAAAAAAGAAAAAGTTATCCACTTTGTTTAGTCATTTCTAATTTCCCGTAGATCTTAGTTTACATGATGAATCCTTAAATCTGAAAGTTAACTAAGCACTGTAATTATTCAATCATAGTACAGTTATATTACCAACATGTAAATATACTTGTAGGTTGAGATTTTCTACAACACTAGGCTTTCATTTTTAAACCCTTCTACTGAAACTCATGTTGAATAATTGTACTTTTAGATTATCAAAGGTTAAACTGCCTGACTGAATTATAAGTTTCGCAGCTACGTGTTTCACTACCATAATGCGTGCCGCCTTTAGCGTGTCTATAATGAAAGGAAACAAAGTTGACATACCCATCACGATTATTTGTAAGCCAGATTTTGACTAAACTGGTCAGCTCAACAGCGGTTGATTCATTTGTCTTTTACTGGTTGGTCTGCTGATTGAAGTTTTTCTTACTTTCCATCTGATCACTGCCTCTTCCACTTCTTCATTTATGACTTTTCAAGAAATATATACAATGATTGCTAAGAAGAATAGAATAAGTAGCAAGAAAGCAGACCAGCTACGTCTTTTATGGCCAGTCTTGTAACACATTTACGTCTAGACTAGTGTCAGTGACTTTGATCATGACAGTCTGAAATCAGAGTGTGCTCAAACCTAAGCTGCTTTATGTGGCAACACTGTAAACGAGTCACTGTCGGCTAACGATTTACAGCTTATCCGTTTCCCGGTACATCAACCAAAGATGTAATTGCATAATGTAATAATTTACTATGATAGACGCTGAGTCCTTCACATTTAGTTAGTGATTTCTAGTACAGTTAACAAAACACAACAATCAATGTATTACGATATCTAAGATTTTGGCTAGAACGTTATACTGCCTATACATTTCATTACTGGTTAGTTTGTTTCAAATTCACTGTCTCTTACATGGAGAATGTTGAATGTCTACTTTCTAAGATTAGACGGTTTCCTACCCATATGTTCGTACATTCCACTTTAATAAATACTTGAGCAACAACTTTATCTCCGACAGCTGATCTGATGGTTAACCGTTGGCTATTTCAATGTGTACACTGTTCATTGTATACTTTACTCCATTCCTTTGTGTATATAGTATAGGGCTGTAAAAAAGAAGCGCCAGTCGCTGCATGGAGAGTAATGAATTTCATTTTACTAAATCTCCTTTGTTGATCATATTCTTTTTATCAGTTCCTTAATGTGACCCCAGTGGTATCGCCTAGTAGTCACAATACGCTTAATTTCGAATGATTTTAGGCAGTGGATAAGAAACATATCTATTTCAGTGGTAGTAACTTTGACTGTTACACTACAAGTGATGCATTGAAAACTTCTTAGAAAGTATAAACTTCAATAGATTTATCAGTATAACTTTCCAATTAAAAATGAAGAGCAACAAATTTCATTTAATCAGAACTTTGCACTAGGTTACTAGATAAAAAGTAGTGATTAAGATCATTTCGGAAAACCTACAGGTTAACATCAATAACTCAGAATTCTTGGATCCAATGATTAATTGATGAAGGTTGAATAAGCAAGTACACTATCATCTAAACAGATAAATAAAGCATAATAAAAGCCTAAAGCGTAGGGAAGTGAAGAAATATAAACACATGTAGTTGATCTATTGGAGGTAAATAATATGGTTCAAAGGGAAGGTGAACAATGAGCAAAAGGAAGTAGACATTAAAGCGGCCAAGATGGTAAACACCACAGACTGACAGCTGTTGAAGAACCAATGGAAATCTGGAGGTGCTGGGTAGCTGCCTCATCCTAGTATGGGATTCCTCACCAATCCTCACCCGTGACATTGACGGTGATCTTACCCACTAGCTTCAGGTTCAGCGGCGAGCTCCTTATCAAATAAGCATCTGCGTTGGAATCTGATTGTCAATTAGCGATATTGAAATGATGGAGAATGTTAGCAGCTCAGGAGGATAATTTTTATCGGGTCGGTTTCTCTCAGCTGTACTGTTTAGTCGTAGGATTTTCATTGTCACTCTAGACAACATCATCAGCACAAATGTCAGAAAGGAGTGAATAACGAAGCTTTCTCCACCATTTAATTCAGTAGATTGTTCTGATCGTCTTGTGTGTGGTTAGTTACCCCTGCCTAGGTCTTGTCATTATCTCCATGTTTATTTTGATTAATTGTTCTGCTGACATTAGACCTGACCTTGGTTGATAGATTGGGTCAATGTCAATATATCTGTTGATTGCTGACCTACCGGAATGCGAAACTTCTAAGAATTCTCTGTCATTCTTCATATTTCCTCTATGCAGGATTTTCTCTTTTTTCCAGTCAACTTCATATCCACTGCCGTCCGAATGCATTGATGTGAGTGGAGACATTTCATGATTCTTCAGCGCTAGTTTACATTCACGTAGACGGATGGGAGGAGGGCGACCACTCTGTCTGACATAGTGTTTTTCTCCATTTCTGTAGTTTAGTTTGTAAATAATGTTTGGTTTATCTTCCTTTATTAACGTATCTTTTAGCCTGAATAAAACAGACTGAAGAAATTTAGTGGGTCTTTGACATAATGAGATCCCGAGAGGCTTCAGTAATCTAGTCGTGATCTCGGAGACGTTTTTCATGTAGGGCAGGACGATTCGTTCGTCAGTTTTCGAGGTAGAATTTTCGGCTAATGACCAATTATGTAAGCTTCTTTTGGATAGCTATTCTTCTGAAAAAAGGCGTCAAATAGTTTTCGTTATCAACGAAGAAGTTTCGGAGATCACATACAACATCACGCACTGGCATGCAGGTACAACAGACTGACGGGTCTCAAATAGGATGAAACTCGCGTCTTGGATTCCTCTGTTAGTCACCAAGATCAATATAATACGATGAATATTCAAGAGTGTCGAGGTTTCCAAATACGAGCTCATCTGCCAATAGAGTTCTAGTTCCTGTCTAGTAACGGGAAATCAAAAGTAATATGACAACCATTCACAGTACCTTCATTCAACAGAATGTATGTTACTAGAAGTTTTCGGCTTTTAAGATATTTGAATAAAATTCCATCTTTAGCTATGATTATATTTCTTAATTAAGGCAAAATGACGAAAGGTGATCAGGTATATTAGTACAAGAAATTCCTTAGAACTAATTTTTCCTTAACTTGAAATGGATAACCTTTAATGTTACTTTAATCATGTCATTAACTAAAAACGACTTCAGAGTTTATGGGCATGCATTTCACAGCTTCATGTTTACCACTAGTATTTATACTGATCTGAACAACACTTACGTCTTTGTTCCGTTACAATGACTGTATTGAATACAAGTAAAATATTTACACATGTAAACATCTATACTTTGTTGTAATAGTTTATTTTAATCAGCATATTGCTATGTAATCTCTTCATATTAACTATAGAATAACTCGATAGGAAAACCATAACATTGATTCTGTCTACTTTATTGGTCCAATTTGCAAGATATGTTGTTACTAAACTATTATGATTGCATCTGTTGATGAGCTGAATTCGTGCACATCATCTGTTATTACGACAGCCTTAAAGATCAGTATTCATTCTGCGTACATTTCTTTTTAAAGGTGTGAAAGATATCGTCACATTTCGAAAATGTTGAAAATTCTAATATTGACTAGTTGTAGAATCCAGGATACATGTTTTATCCCTTTTGACACTTATCAAGTTGATGCACCTGCCTCCTAGTGAGTGAAGTTGTTCCCATCAGGACTCAAGCCTAAGGCTAGTCACTTCACAAGCTACAGCGTCGTCCATCAGCCCACTGAGTCATCAGAACCGATCTCTGATCATGAAAGATTACCAAGTTTCTGATCTGGCTATCCGTAGTAATAAAAAAGTCATCATCAGTCGGAGTGACACAGCTTAACATGTTCATACACTTAAATTATCATCCAGAGATATGAAACGCGGAGAAATGCAAAGAATATTTTCTGCTGATTTGAACTGCTATCCAATAATGACAAAATGCAAAAAATATGGTAAATTTGTATGACACTACACTTTATTTTTGACATGAGTGGGGATCTTTAATTTAGAGGTAGTATTCACCACGGACTAACATCAGTTGGGGAACTAATGAGAACATGGGGGCACTGGATAGCTGTCTCGCCCTACTATGGGACTCCTCAGCAGTACATACCCATGACCCTACTAGGGATCGAACACAGAATCTTCAGATTTCACTACTGAGGAGTCTCATACTAGGACGAAACAGCTGTCCAGTGCTCCCAGGTTTTCAGTGAATACTACCTCTTAATCACATCTCATGAGAAAGTAAAGTAAGAATGGAGGTTTAATCTGTGAACAGTTGTCAGACATATCACCTAGAGTCTCTGAAAGTCTATTTTGATCACTGTACTGACATCAACCACCCTCTATAAAAGTCATATCACTATTCAGCAACTTCTTGTGTTAACGCTGTGTTCTGAAGTAATCATCCTCCATTATTTTCAGCCTTGTTTTCCTCTGCTTGACACACAGAGTTCAGAGAGACTTTGGACCGATATGTGTTACATTTGGCTGCGGTACACCTCATTTTTGAAATTAACAAACATCACCCTTTGAATACATATTAGACTAGTGAACGTAGTGACTCATATTACATGTACAATGAAAACACTGCTCAACAGTCACTAGAATTCCGTTGGTTATTGTTTATGATTTGCTTTTGCGTTTGAGAGTTTAGGTTGAAAAGCATAAGTTGCATTTAATGTTGTTAGGGTAAATCTGTATATAATCTTTGTACAAAGGTAGCACAATAACCCATTCACTTTAAGTAACCAAGGTTCACAGTCTCACTCATATCATCATGCTAAGAATTAGCTTTTAATCATATATAGTAATGATGGATAGTGGCTAGCAGTGGGATCCAGTGCGCGCATTTCGTTCTATTTGGAACTCGTCACCTGGATGTACCTGCCTTCCAGCGATGTTGTTCCCACCGGGACTTGGACTCGGAAGCGATCACTTCAAACGCGAAAGCGTTATCTGCTACACCACCAAGTCAACCTCTTGTGCAAAGGGTATAGTTTTAGCGTAATTGCTTGTATTATCGTGGCTCGGTAGTGTAGTAGATAACGCTCTCGCATTTTAAGTGATCGCTCCTTAGTCCAAGTCCCTGTGGTAACAATATCACTTACTGTGAGGCAGGTACATCCAACTAACGAGTCCCAATTAGGACGAAATGCATATACTGGACTCCACTGCTAGCCATGATCCATCATAACTATAGTTAAAACACAAGGGACATCAAGGCATCCGCACAGGATCCCATATGCCATAGAGACCGATAATTTTTGGTCCAATCAGAAACGGTATAATACAAGCAAGTATGCCAGAATTACCTTTGAAGTCATCAGAAAATATTTCTTTGGCAGTTGGAATTTACATGTTTACCTAGCTGAGAAATAATATTAACACTTCATGACCTAAATCTAAATCACAGAGTTAGTTGTGTGTTCTCTGGCCTTAAAAGGACACCATATACTTCCCATTTTCATCTTACGCATCTTTTACATCGTAAACATGTCTGCTTAGCTCCTTATTTTTTTTCATTTTATTATCTAATAGTCAGCTTCCATTGGTTCATATTTCTCAGTTAACTCTACTGCCAATTAACACGTAATAAGACATGACAGTAAATGCACAATAAATTTTGCGATAAAACTTACTTGGTTCCCATTTTGGTGCTGCTTGAGGAGAAGAAATAATCTGGAGTCATTTTAATCTGGAGCTTATGAGAAAGATTTTAAGGTATTATTAAGCTTTTAGTTAGATTTCAAATTTGTGGATGTGAACTAATAGAATTTGGCTAGCTTTTAGAGTGGGACAGAGTGACATTGGTTACCTTTCAGTGACTGATTAAACAAGTTAAGAGGTTTTTAAAATACTTTTAGAAACTGTCTTATTTAGAGTTAGGGGTTGAGTGACACAATATAATACTTGGGAAAACGATGACTAAAAAGAATAGCATAAGAGAAATAAAACAAAAGAAACTATTTTTAAGACCGAATGTTAAAACAATTGGGAAAGATGGTCCACCTAGTGTACACGAAAGAATAGTAATGTGTTGTACTTTCGAGCATTTATAAGTCAGTTTTCATCTGGTATCACATCTCTTCTTTGTTTAGAACCTAGCTTGACAAATAGCAGTTTGAAAACATTTTAAAAATGTGCCAGAGTACATCATACATTTAGAATATATATTTGGAAGATTAAAACAATCTTAAATAAATTCAATGGAAAAAAAAATTTTTGTTACGCCAAGGTTTAAGTAGGCAATCACTTGTTTGCCTATAATGATGGATACATTAAACTCACTTTGATACATAGGTATAACTATGGATTTAAAAATAACAATTTCAGTCATAACTTGAAAAAACTTAGATTCAATTTAAAGGTTTGTGTGGACTTACTGATTGGTTTCAAGTTTGGTGTTCATCATGCACTGATATCACTTGGAGAACCATTGCAAACTTGGGAAGACTGAACAACTGTTCTATACTAGTATCTCATCTCGAAGCTAGTTACTAGATGTATTCAATTGAGAGGTTTTTAGGGAATACATTCTCGAAGTCCTAATAGGAAATCATGACTGGTGATATCAACAAAGTCGAAAACGAGGACAGTTATTCAACGACAGAATTCAATGATGCTCGCGCTGTATTACTAACTGACAGAAGTAGGAAATGTGAACGACTGGATTACGAACCACTGGCTAAGTATTAACCTGCTGGTTGCGCAACCCTTAGGTCCTGGCTTCAATTCCTTGCGGAGTCGTAGTTGTGCACTGTTGAAGAGTACCATACTGATATGAAACAGATATCGAGTCCTTACAGGTTTCTAATTGTTCTGGGACTGATTTCAGCTCATGATGAATATCAGTCTAAAAAACTAGATGACTGTGAGTAGTCGCCATTTAAATTGACACTTTGAACTTTGAGATATTTGGTTCCTGTTTTATACTTCAACATAGAAGGAACAATGATGTCATTGTTTCACTGTTTTCTCAATAACTGAGTACATAGCATTAAAGCTTAACCAGTTAAAAATAAATCAGGGATACCATATTTCCAAACCTCGAAAATTTTAGTTTGTCTAGAGAAAAGTAGGAATAATGTCTGTTCGGAGTTCTGACTGGTGACACACTTAGTACTGTAAACTTGATCTGGCTCAAGCGCTTAGAAATTAATGCATACACTACATACTTTTCTATGACTGACTCTTCTGTACTATTTTATCCCGCAAGGAATGAATAATTAAACCAACAGCTTGATGGTAATGTTCCTAACTTTAGCATTAAATAAATCGAAATCAAGTCTCTAGTGGAACACTTAATTTCCTCAAACTTGTTCACATGCCTTGCTGAAGATCGTCAAGAAGTGCAAAACGTAAGTTTAAGACCTCTTTTTAAATCAAATCCATACATAAGTCACAAAAATCTTCAGTAACTAGAAGACTTAAAATGATTTATCTAATGCAGTTAACACTCTTGAAAGGAAAGCAATGAAATTCGAAGTAGTTTGTAAGATTTTCCTTCGTGAAATTTGTTGACAGTTGGTGTTAAGAGTCATTTCTCGACCAAGTTTTATTCCTTAGCGATAACTCATTAGCCGCGAGCACCTGGAAGTTTGCAGAAACATATTCGCTGGAAGGTTTAAACAAGTATTATTCAGTTGTGAAGTAATAGGCCTTACCGCTAAGTGGTTTACACAACAACCAGTTTCTTTATAGGACTTATTCATGTACATCATATTAGAATAGAATTTGTGTAGTGTATAATTTCATGTTAATTTCTTTGTTGAATATTCCACATAGTGTAGTAGTAGTAGTATTTAACATATGACTGCAAACAAAAGGCGTATAGCAAATAAAACTGATCTGCTGTATGAAATTTCAGATAAACAAATAAACATGAATTACACATATCAGTATGGTACCTGATTGTAGGTACTGTAGCTATCCAGCTTCAAATACTGATCAATGTCTATCGATTGGGTGTCTTAGTACAATTGACTAAGTGTAACTAAGTGTATTGCACCTTCCTGACAGCAAAGTACAACTAGGGCTAAAATAATTAGATTAAATTGGACTAACTAAATAAACCTCTAGCTTGCCTCCGGATGCTTAAGGTGTCTTAAGTTTTATTTTAACGAGCATATATCCGAGTAGGCTTCGATGCCAGTTTGCGTTCCCTTTGTGATGGTCAACAGGCATATTCTCAAAGTTCCTAGTTCAGCCATACTAACCAGATAAGTTGGATAAACGTTACCCCTAATAATAACTATCACATTTATTCTAATTAAATATATTGCTCCTTTGAAAATATTCCTGAATGACAGTCCTTTTGATTTGCGTTCCGTTATCAGTACTTACACGTTAGGTAAGGTACTGACTAAGCAGGTACTAGAGAACCTCGAATTTAGTAGGGTTGGTCAAGCATTACGTAATAGTGTCACAACCAGCACCCCTACAGTTGGTCAGCCCGAGTTTCATTCTCTTATTGTGTCTAGTACTTTATTCATCCCATGGTGATTCATTTGTTCTGTTTTTTGTCTTTTGCACGTTTTGTTTTCGTTTTTGCATTGCGTTTTCTGTTGCTTATTTTTCATTATAATTCTGTTACTATCAGCGTCGTCCCTCATTATATCCCTTATGAAAGGCTAGTAACAACGACTCTACTGTGCAGATGGATGTAACTTTTCAGCTTCTCACTCACATGGAAGCTTAGTTTACTTTGAGGCATATTAACGCACAGGAAACTAAGTCAAACTTAGTCATCGACAGTTTGCTCGGAGAAGATGTTTCAGACGCGTTAGATGACCCAGCACCAAATCTGTACGATGGCCTCAAAGCCGCACCCATTAAATGCGCTGCACTCACTGACCAGCAGAAAAGCCATGAAGTGTTTAGCGGTGTGCAGCCCGGTGATCATAAGCCCTAAGATGAAGCAGCTGGCTGTATACTTCAGTATTGATGGTGCATCTCTCAAGCAACCGTGGTTGCAGCGATTACCAAAGACAATGCAGGGGATCCTATCACCCTTTCACAAGTCCCCATCTATCGAGCTGGCGGAGCTGTAGATGCTACTAATCCCAATGTGAGTATTTCAGCTGCACCGTCTACTGCAACTGACTCACACAAAGACCCCTACTCCCCTTCAAAAAGTGAGTCATCAAGTATCGACGCTGTGGCTCAGATCACCAAATTCTGCGAGAAATCCTTCAGTATTAGGAAAGAAATTCTGTCCGGTAGTTCTTCCTACAACTCTCCGGTGCAACAGATCTGCCTCCCATTCTTATAACAGGAGTTTCAAATCACGACAATCCCAGTCCGAGTTGTGCTGATGCGACAGACGGTATAGTGTCAATGCCAAAAGGTGCACTCAGCCTTGCGCCTTCAAGACTAAACAGGCAGCAAAAACATCAACCAGCGCGTGACGGCGACTAACGTCGCTGGTGAACCACTTCCTTATCGCCTCTTCTGCGTCACAGATCGACATTCTGGTATACGCTTGCTGGTTGGTACTGGAGCAGAGTTAGCGTCACCCCACCAACTAGTGAAGAGCATATACATCCAACTTCGTGCTGCCAGTGGTTTGTCCGTCACAACTTACGGTCGGAGATTCCTCGACTTCAACTTTGGACTACGTCGTTCTTTCCACTGCGTTTACATTGTGGATGATGTGACTGCCGGCATTATTGGTATGGGTGTCCTACAGCACTATCAGCTGCTAGTGGATGCTGGTAAACACAAGTTGATTGGTCAAGCGTTTCGTAATAGTATCACATCTGGCAACCCTACATAATTATGATTTCGTGAAAGAATGGGTGTAAGCTTCTTTAAATTCGGATTGACTTTCTACTCATGAGGCTACCAAGTACTGTACCTTGGTTTAAAGCGTATTCCTTACTGACTGAGAGAATTCAACTCCAAACTAAACAAAACACGGTATCATCACACTTAGTTCAGTGTTTAGAATGGGAATATAATCCACAGACTACATTCTTTACAATAAACACTGAGACCGAATTGTTTGTCATCCAATAAACAACTAATTGATAACGGTGGTTTGCAACTTCCTTTTACACAGGGGATCGCAAAATGTATGTGTCTTCCTTAGAAAAACATTTAGACTACGCTATTCAGATATTCATTGGTAAAAGGTGTGTTAGCTAGTATACAACTTGCTGATAGAACAATGTCGTTCAAATATGTAGTATTGGTACAAGACTAGGTGATCTGATATCACTTTATCACATTTTGATGTGTACCACGTAAATAACATATCCAAAGTCAAAAATGATTACATCCTTACCTTCTGGTGTTCTTATGGCTGCTAAAAATAAATAAATAAATATTAAAAAAAATCGTTAAAACAGTCAATTTTTTTAGAAGCTGAAAATTCAAACCACTTGTTTAACTAATCAGTTTATTTTATGATATTTACTTTTAGTGGTAAGGTAAAATTAATCTTGAAATCATATTCAGTAATCGCTAGCAATGGAACTCAATGTCTTCACTTCTTCCTTCTAATCGCTAGCTGTCTACTGAATTTACCTTCATCAATGTTGCTCTTCTGACACAAACTTCCAATTCACTTTTTTCTAGGTTTAAACAAAGTAATTAAAGCCAAAGGGAACCATTGACTGTTATTTGTTTATTTCATTGCTGAGACTTTCCATTTTGTTTACCTTGACCAATAAGTATTAGAAATCATACGGTTTGTTTCTAACTGCTTCGTGAAGTTTCGATTCCTTTAATTTGAACCAAGTAGAAAGCATTGATTTGAGCTTGATATATATATATATACACCTTTTGAAATACCGCCAAGATTTTATCCTTTATTATTGTTCATAATACCTAGTTAAGCGAAAAGTGGAATATAATATGCTTCTAGCAAATATAAGTAGTCTGAAGCCATTCTTTCTAATTTAAAATGATTGAAAAACAGACCTGAGTGATTTCAACGTCTGATAGCCTTTTGATTTACTTCATTTTGATAGATCAGAGGTGTATTTTAGTTTATTGCTTTCATAAAGCTTAATTCCTAAGAGTAAACAAACTATGGATTGAGAAATTAGTTGACTAGAATTAACTGACAAGAGAAGATTGATTTGAACATTACCACTAAGTTAAAAGATTAATAAAGCTATCAATCAAATACAGAATTTCGATAGCAGCGCAATAATCCCTGCTAGCAACTCTAAGTTATGTTGTTTAGAAGTCAATTTACGCTTTCGATGAATCAATTAAGAACTTGATTCTCAACCTACCCTTAATTTACAGATACTGCCCTTTTAAGCTACTTTTAATATGTAGTTGGTTGAAACTTCCAAGTACTCAATAATTTTCTTGTGACTGGTTCAACAACAATATTTCTAAAGATTTTACCTTTTTAGCTATATGCATTCATTTATCATAGAACTCTAACACTGATGAAGAAAAGTTTCAGAGCGAATCGAAATATGCAGTGTCAGAGCTGCAATATCCTTTGAAAAGCTTCACATATTGATAACCTGTCAAGTCACGAAAACACATTGTTCCCTTATTATTATTATTTATTTTATCCTTGGGTTCCTGGTGGAACATACAACTTCAGTAGCACGCCTCAATTGCACTCTGTTCTATGCAGTCTTTTCAACCTGCCTCCACGACTGCCAACCACCTTTCATTTCTTCTTCCCATGATCTCCACCATGTCACCATTGCATCGGATGCCCAAATCGTCGTTTCCCATCTGGCTTCCACTCGAGGGCCTGGAGTTTGATGTCCCCAGTCGGCCTACTTAGTGCATGCCCAATCCATCTCCACTTTATTCCTTCTGCATGTTTGTTGAGCGATAGATTCTTGGTTGGTTCGTTGCCAGCCAGCCATAATTCCTTGTTGCTTATTCTTTCTGGCCATCTGATCTTCAGTACTGAGCGTAAGCATGTCGCTCACTAAGATTTTGATGTCGCCATCTGGGGTGGTGTCTTGTCCATTACTGATTGCAGTTGTCTGTAGAATTCCTCCTTCTTCTTTTCATCTGCATTATTTATAGATGCGTAGTGTAGCATTGGATGATTGTGATTTTCTCTCTTTTTGAGTTGAATCTCGCTGTCATGATACTGGAGGAGATTGGTTCCCACTGCATGAAAGCATTCGGTACTCTTGGAGACATCATGATAGCCACTCTCTCCGTGTGTTCGTGGTTGTCATCATGGTGACAATATCGGAGTTTATCATTGACTCCTCTGCAGTTGACAGTTTGGAGAGTCCACTTCCATTCCATCTGCAGATTCTTCGCAGATTTCTAGCACTTCCATGCCATATCTCCTCATCTCTTTTGCAATCGGGACAGCATTGCTAGGTTCATACATGATGCGGACATTCTATGTCCCCATCCTTACTTTCGCTTTCATCGAGAGAAGACATATCGGCCAACTGGCTTCCCGAAGGCTTTCACCAACCGGTGTCATTTCGTCCCTCCGATTCCAGCGAGGAATAATATTGTTTTTATTTTGTTTGTGCTTTGAAGTTTCTTTAGCGACTGGATTGGTTTTACGGGGTAGGGTTGCTAGCCCTATGCCCAACCTTCCTTGTTTATCCAGGCTCAGGATCGGCTAGTAACCAGTGAACTAGTTAACCAGGCCAGGTTTTCTGTTTCCTGACATCAAAAAATATTCGTCTCATTCGCCTCATTGTACATAACACAAAAAGGAGTTTACTTTCATCAAAACAGTTGTTACGATCATCCACTTGTGACTGTGAAGCGAACTTTGGTCTATATCAGAAAAGGAAACACCTACCAACTTTGAGTTTCAACATTTTTTCTAAAGAACCCCTAGATACCTGAATAAATGATATGATACTTAAGACACTAATGTTTTAATTGCAAAAATATATTTATCTATTCCACGTGAATAATGAAAGCTGAATGATTATTCAATTCTAAATATTCCCAGTATCAGTAGTAAGTGTAGACACAAATCGTTGAAAGGTTTCTGTCCATATTCACTCATCAGGTCATTTAATCTCTTCGGTTAGGCATATCAGTTATACAGACGTAAGTAGATAAGAATCATTGGGTTAAGAACTCTCTATGGTACAGCTGAAAATCGATCAAAACATTGCAAAGCAGTTGTAATCGTTCAATGTTTTGACTAGCCTCAGTTTTTTGATTCTCTCTTCTATACACTTTGTCTACTTTGATAGCAGTCTTTCTCTCTTCATTAGTTCTTGTGGTATACGGTACTGTGAAGTGTAGCGACGTGAACTGATGCAGTTATGTACAAGGTTCTGCGTTGGTTCTTTCTATTTATCTGTCGAGGTATCGAGTTAGTTTTGTAGAGCTTAAGCGTAAAATGTGATATCAGATCTCGCCTAGTTAAATAGTTCACTAGTTACTAGCCGGTCCTAAGTCCGAATAAAGAGAGAAGGTTGGGGATATGGCTAGCAACCCTACCCCGTAAAACCAACCCAATCGCTAAAGAAACTTCAAACCACGAAGAAAATATAAAAAATAAAAATAAACCTATTCCTCTCTGGAATTGGGGAGACGAAATGATGTTGGTTGGTGAAAGCCCTCAGGAAGCCGATTGGCTGATGCGTTTTCTCTCGGTTAAAGTGAGAGTAAATGTTTGGCGTCCAAAGGTGGCATTGAGGAGATGGTGTGAGGAAGAAATGGAAGCTTCTGGACAGTCGTGGAGCCAGTTCAAAAGACTGCAGAGAAGAGAGTGAAATGGTGGTGAACACTGCTTATATTAAGTAACCTTTAAAGTGACCTCGCTACAGACCAATAACTTACATCTTGTTTTTATAGTCGGAGCTGAAAAATTAGATCAAGTAAAACTGCAGTTTAGAAAAATGAAACCCTCTATTTGAAGTATATTATTGGTCAAAAGCAATTTTCATGGTGAAAATTACTTAATAACCTTCCATAGGACTGCTACTAGTAAACTGTAGGAAGCCAAGATTTCAAAAATACCAGTGACCGTCATTGCATTGACCAAAGGAGTCAACGTAGAGCATTTCATTCAACCCATTTCAACTATCCTATGAAGTTTAACAGGGGAAAAATTTCAGTCTACTATCAAAGAACTAGTTCTCAAAATAAGCAGATGAATGAGATTTGGTAGGCCTTCGGAACTGTTTCCCATCCAGAAACTGAAGTTTTTCATCCTCAAAAATCACATGCAAAAGCTGTCAGAATAAAAAATAGAGGTTCACAAATCCGTTATCTATTGGTGTGAATTATATAGGGTAGTGTTCAGTACGTTGATGCAAACCCCGAGATGCCAAATGGCTTGAAACTGAAAACCATGTCTTATAAATAAGGATCTTGAAAGCCTTGGTTTTATTGTGTCCTCTGAGCTGGGTTGTTTAATCGTGAAGCTTTCATTATCCTTCTAGACGACATCATCAGCATTAACTTCAGTATGAAGTTAGAAGGACGATGAAAGCTTCACGACTGAACAATCCAGCTCAGAGAACACAATTACAACCAGAACCATCCACCTGAGCTACTAAAGATCTTGAAATCGTCAATCATTTGTTTTCTTTCTGCCGTTTCATTCTTGTTTATTCATATCTTTTCTACTTGTTCATCTTCAGTTTTGTACTTGGAACACTGTTCGTCCATGTGTCGTATTTTACTGGTCTATCTCTCTGTTTTGTCTGTGCATACCTAACATCGATTCCGCAAGCAATATGTATTCATTATCGTATCCACAAATTCATCTAATTTCTTTATTAGTTATTCCATCTTTTGACTTAATAACTACTTCATAAGTACATTCTTAAATCTGTAGAAGTCTTGTTTAGGTAAACAGAACTGTTTTCTATTGCCCAACAACTTTTTTCTGGGGCTTATGACTCATTTTCTGAATTATGTATATGTTAGCAGTATTTCGAAATTACTACTTCAAAGTTTATTCAATCATAACAATTCAAAACAATATTAATATAGATTGGTTACTCCAAATAATCTACAAACCGGGGAGTCATATGTATCATCTAATGTCTCTGAAAACGGTTATTACTTCATAGTTGTATTTCAACTTGTTCGCTTAGAATCTAAAACATCAAATTCGTCTTTTGGGTTTACTATAAATTTTGGTTTGTTTTCCCTCGAGACTCTGTCATATCACTAGACAGTAGCTTTTTCTCTGCTGCTATTCTTCATCGTAAGGGTTTTAGTGATCATATTCAAAGTGACATGTAAACTGACAAACGTTTCAGCCTTCTACTTCATAAAAGAGAACGACTGTCACGGAAGTCATGCATGATCCACGTCTAATTACTTCGGTCCACGGGTCATAACTTCCCGTTAGAATTTCATAAAGTTTATTTCCAGGTCAACTGCTAAAAAGTACCAGGTAACAATCATTCAAAAGAAATTCACTTGGGATTGACTGGTTTGAAGACTTTTTCTCCCATGAGTAAATTCGTCCAACCACAGAACTGCACACAGGTACTGGATTCCCACTTCATTTAGTCATTTTATCATTAATGAACACAAATTACTCTGTATTAATAAGTTACAGATATGACGTTCATGTTTATTTCTCTCAAGGGAAATAAATGTCACTTATTCTCAGCAAAGTTACCCATTTCTCAAGGAGCACTTCTAAAGGCATAAAATGTTCAGTGGCATTATTTAGATGTTTCAATTTCCCATTGTCTACTTGATTAAAATGAATCCATCATAGATATCATTCAACATATGTTGTTCTTCTTACGGTTTCAATCAATTATATTTTGATGTTACTTTGTACTGACTTCCACTAAAATTATAGGCTCTCTGTTGATCTTTGTTCACCTAAGTGAAATTTCCTGTTAGTGATGATATTACTGCTGCAAAATGGATCTAGCATCAATATTTTCAAACCTTGTGGTGTTGTCGTTATGCTATGGAGTTGCAATAACCTATTTTAGTGTTCTTACATTCAGCCAAAAATACCTGAACACAGTGGTACTGGCATCCACTGTTAGACTGAGTTTATTATTACCTAAAAGATTTCGTACACCTAGCTGGGGTTTTAAATAAATCATGTAATAAGTTCATTTTCATTATCAGTGCAATAAATAGTCTAATTGTTGCATATTGGTGTAGTTATTCAGCCTCTGAGAACTATAAAGAAAGTTGGAATAGCTGGAAGTTTCTAAAAAATTGGTAACTGGAGAATAAGAAAAGGTCAAATATTATCTTAAGCGATCATCAACACATGGAGCTAAAGTCATTATTTGGAGAAAAACAAAGAATAAAGAAGTAAAAACCATCATTACTTGACTTACTTGTTACTGAAGCAGAAAGTAACAACCTTTAACAACAGTTTTCACTCTGTGGTTCAGTAGTCAAAACAAACTCAAATTGGATTTCGAAAAGGTGAGAATGAAGTGATTTACAAATGAAATTTATCGCCCTAGTTTATAACTTGGTTTGACATGATACTGGCCACGTTACTAACATATATTTCAGGAGTTTTGAAGACATTCCTATCTGCCTAACAGTGAAGTAAACAGAACCAAAACAGAGATATCTATGGCTTGCAATCTTGAAATCTATCTACAGACTCTCACAAATATCTTACCAAACTTTTCATCATGGTTTTACACTGAAACCTGATTTTATTCAAAAGTCAACTGTTTTTCCTGCTCTCAACACATCCACCAGTATGAATTTAGGAGGAAGACATTGACTGGAGCTGTAGTTCAACAACCTGTTATATGCACAGTTCAAGGCATATATAGATATGACTAGGAATACTTTGCTTTTCTACATAGTTCTTATAAAAGATTAAGAGATTATCGACAAAATACATTAGTGACCAGTCTTAGGGATCAGAAATATGTGTACGATTCATTGTGAAAGATATCACAACCTTCTACGGTTGAATTTTATGCATTCAAGCTTTTTCTAAGGTTTTCAAAACATATAATTGTACCATATGAAGCCACCATTAACGCATTATTGGATGTAACCGTACGTTAACTAGACAAAGTCCTGTGAGTGAATCATCTACTAAACAAATAACGAGGTATGTCGGGCATTCATCTCATCAATAAATCATAATAAATATCCGGCTAACTTATCAACTTTGTGTATGTAGATACGTTAATTAAGACATTAATTGAAGATAAATGGTAATTACTAATGAATACATATAAATCCCTATTTGCTTATGGTAAGCAGTTAGTCTATTGTCAACCTTAAACAAACGGATTCCATAATTTCAAGTTGTTATTCATCGAAGACTGACATCAGTTGGAGGAATAAAGGAAACCTGGGAGCACTGGACAGCCGTTTCGTCCTAGTATGGGACTTCTCAGCAGTGCACACCCACGACCCCACCAGCAGGTATCGAACCCGCGACCTTCAGGTTCCGTGGCCAGCGCGTTACCATTGAGCCAGTGGGTCAGAATCCAATGCTCCATATTTCCAACTTCTGTTAGCTCACGATATAGCGCAAACCGGATTCCATAATTATCTGTTTTTAAACTCAAGTTCTCCAAACACTAAGAACTCCCAAACTAAATATGCAATATTTATTTAGTTAATCTTTTATTCTTCTGATTTTTTCTTATCCATATCAAATCAGGTAGATTATTTGAAACTTAACTCTTCTGCACAAAGTTGAAACTCATTCAATAATTTCTAGTGTTGATTACATGTCATCTACTTGAACCTTAGGTGTTTGACTATATTTCCTATCCAGTATCCTATTCAGTCGGTCATTATCAGACATAATTTCATCTTCATTTCATAAAATAACTTTTACGTTTCGTTATAAATCAATAATACTTTCAACTGCACTTCACACCATCGCAAGTGTACTTATGGATGATTTTCTTAACTTTCCTGTTGATCATTCTGTAAAGTTGATATAAATATGTGAAGAAATTTTGCATATTTAGAAAAAGTGTTTGTTAACATCGTAAATTTTTAATGTTACATTTTCTGTAGCTTGATTTGTTACGTTTAATTAGTTATTAGTTTACGTTAATCTTTATTCATTGTCACTGAAAAATATGACTAGTTTCTTTGTAAAGCGTCAAAAGTGAGTGTATTCTTGTAATATCTAACTGATGTTTTAAATCATGGAACTTTCTACACTTCACCGTCATTGCATGCCATCAATAGGACTTAAACGTATAACTTTGGCAAGTATACCTTTCTGACAAGTGTCAGTACATTAAGAACTTAAGTCTAAGGCACGCTACTGATTGCCTGAAACCAACTATCAATTAAAATACAATAATGAGTCTTCTAGTTTGGTGACCAGATTGTTAATTGATGGATATAATTTTTTTAGCAATTACGACTAGATAACATGAAGTTGATTACTCTACATCTGCTAATCAATAAAAGTTTGCTATCATAGCTTGTGTTCTATACACAAGAATCGTCACCATGATCATAAGTAAAGAAGTCTCTTTCAGAAAACCCCATTAGTATTAATGGTAAATATTCAAAGAAATCCACTTTACTGAACTCACATGTATCGTCCTTAAATAAGCCAACTGATAAAAAAAATAGTTCTACTATTGTAATTGTAGCATAAGTTTAAACATTTAAAATGGATGATTTACTTGGTGGTAGCTAGCAGGGGAGTGTAGGACGTGCATTTTGTCCTATTTGGTCACCCAGATGTACCTGCAGCCCCGAGGATGTGAGGTTGTCCCCACTGAAACTTGAACCTCGTGGCCATCGCTTCAAACGCCAAGGAGTTATCCACTAGGCCACTGAGGCACGATAGCCACCTCTTGTACAAAGGGTATTAGTTGGTATGAACGATGAGTACGAGGTTCCAGTATCAGTGGGAACAACATCACTCACTGGGGTGCAGGTACATCCCGGTGACGCGTTAAAAATAGGAAGAATTCCTCTACTAGTCATAACCAAGTAAACTGTCATAATTAATATTCATGTAATATCGAGGCATCCGCATAGGAGCCCATATGCCAAAAGAGATCGAACAATTCGATCCAGTAAAACAACGGAGAATTACAAGCATATCAATAAATAGTAATTTAAAATGGAGTTCTGAAGCTCTAGCGAACGGTTATCGAGTAAGACAAGGCACTTACTTAAAACGCTGTAATTATTTTACTGATTTTAAGGGCAAATTGGCCAAAGTAGTTACCTTAACTTTATGTTTGGATTTTAATGGAATCGCTAGTCCACAGGGTAAATAATTATAATTGCTGATACTACCTGATCAACCTAATTTTTCCAGATTTTCAAACTCTCTTGGTGGAGGTAAGGTCTTGATTATCATGTGATTTAGGCGTGTGTTTCGTGTTGTACTAAGTGCTTCCTTAAGTAGGATGAAATGTTGCTATCGAATCATAATCAGCAATCTATAGAATTCATACAGAAATCTTTGTATTGTATTTGGTCAGTTAACTTCTCATTCATGATAAGATTTAACCAAGTAGATAGCTTTTCAAACCGAGGTAAATCGTATGCCACTGGTCTCTTAGATTACAAAGATACCCCAGTGAAGTAATTGGTAAGATGTTTAATCTAGTTGAGTCTTCATTGTTCAAGCTGTACACAGTCTAAGTATGGATCTTCGTATTAGCCCTATTTCTTCATTTTTGTTAGTAATTTCTCGTGTTAGAATTGGGGTATTTTCACAAGTACAACTATTCTTTTAACTGATTTTAACCTTAATTCCTCATTTCCTATGATTGTTGTTTTAAACCTTTTAAGGACTGACTGACACGGAGCATCTTCAGACTATATGAATTTTTTCTAAGAAATTCAAAGGCAGAATGACCAATTGACTTTTTAATAAATAAACCTGACTTAGGCATAAAATTCAAAACATAGGATATTGCAAATTGAGAAGAAAATGAAGTAAGTCATTCATGATATTTGTGAACAAGTTACATTTCTATCAAATGTTAAGTATAGAGTAAGCCATATCATATTGAATAGTTGAATTGACGACTGAGTTCTATGTAGGTGGACAACAGTTTTGAGTCTTACAGCTTATCGACTTAATTCTGAAAATGGTCAACAGTACTCGTCTGAAATTTGTAACAGACAACCTTTTTGGTAATTAGCTAAAGTTTTCAATTTAGTCCCCCAGAAAATTGATCAAGCATTTAATGGATCAGTGGTGAGGTCTCTAGTGGTGTCACTAGGTTACGTCGGGTCACATCTGAAGACAGTTCTTCTTCACTGATACCAACAAGCAAAGGACCCAGGTTCATGGCTGTTTAACGATGTCTTAATGCTAAGAGACAAGTAATTATATTTCTATCTGTCAGCAATGATAACAGATGTCACTCTTTATTTTCAGTGACGACCACAGAATGCATTTACCTTAAAATAATCAACAAAGACATTCTTGCCTATCACACACCCCCCCCCCTCCCCCCCCCCAGATACAAAAGACAATCCTTTCAGGTACCAAGCTGCTGTGAGAATACACCGAAATATATATAGCATTTCGACAAGAAATGATAACGATTCTAAACTTACAACAATCCACATTATGAAAGCATGCGAATAATACAGCAATGGCGTAGATTATCCATGAAATGCCATTCATTTTCAGTGTGTAGTCAACTGACTCTCTGACTTAATGTGATATTATCCTTCAAGTTTTGTTTGTTTACTCTCACTAACTATTGTGATACCTTAGTTTCTATGCCATACCACTTAGAAGATAAAGGTTTTAGTATTTATTTACATTGAGTAGGCTTGTGTCAACGTTTGCAAAGAAGTAAACAAATGAGCAAAAAACAAAATTGAATTAACCAGTACCTAATTGGTAAATAATAACCGCGATTATTGAGAGATTTTACGGAAATTTTTAAAGTAAGATTGAAAAATTGAGCCAGCAGACTATTTTGTGTAAAATGTATTCTGTTAAAGTATTTCTCTGAAATCCTGAAGCTTGATATTATATCATCTATCCTCTGAACTGTCTAAAGATAACGATTTCTTGCTTGGAGATTGTATTGTGTCGCTTATATTGTATCTTCATACTATTTCATGGTAATTTGCAGTGGACTTCAAAAATTCAACTCATCCCATTTGATAAAAACAAAGTTTCGTCACAATATCTGGTATATTTCTTACGGAATAATGAGTACTTGTTTATCAGAGGAAGAAAGCCTTGTCTGGCTTATTTTTCGCGCTTGTTGCCACTCGCTAGCAAAATACATCTAAAACTTCGAGGAAATCAACGTCATCTCACAAGCTTAGTCGTGTTGTGTGCCTAGTACTACAATCACTTATGCTACAAATGAGCCACTCAGGACTCTATTGACCTTCTGTGAGATACACTGATTGGTCAGTGGAGAGGAACTGACTTCGTTTTATTGATTATTGAAAGCTAACTGAGCTCTGTCGATCATTTTTCAATGCAACCATCAAGTTAGGAGGCTGAACATCGTGGCCTGCTTAGCTGTGTGATGACGTTGATAAATATAACATAGTGACTTAGCATCATGCCTTAGAGAGGTGGTAGATACGGCCTGCTGACAACTCTCAAAGAGTACAAAAACTAATTTAAGTAGAGCTGCCTGCCAGTCACTTGCAGACAACTGACATTCATCAAAGTGAACAACGATAGTGAACCCTGTAACTCGATGACCATCCTACAAAATGATTTACAGAACTTGGTGATATATTATCAATATCAACTGATAAATAAAACTATCAGTTATTTCAAACTTCATTTATAAATTAAATATATGATCATTGTAGATGATACATCTAATCAACATTACATTCTTAGTGTACTCCTTCAGGTTTTTCAATTACAGTGTCATTAAACGCAGATTTACTGATGTTCTGCATTCAAATCTAGTAGTAGATATAACACTTGATCATTTCCTTCTTGAGGGGCCTTGAATGTAGGAAGCTTTTCTTTAGTAGATGAATAGAAAATGTCTGTGGTAGACGCTGTTTCCGGCCAAGTTTTGCGATTAATCAGTTCTCTCTCTCAGACTGACTTACATGTGAGGATAGACTACTTCTGTTCTTACAATCTCTTTTTTAGACTAGTAAGGCAACTAAGTAGCTAGAAATTTATTCAAATCAATCCTTTCGGTTACAATTCGCTACTGGCAGCTGTTGATCGTCAATCTCGATTCGGTGCACTTTCCTTGATAATCGGCACTCACATTCTTTAGGGTGGCCATTGGGACAAATACCAAACCATGACATTGGGTGATCATCCTGACCCACTGGCTCAGTGTTAACACGCTGGCCATGGAACCCGAAGGTCTTGAGTTCGATCCCTGGCACGGCTGAGTCGTAGGTTCACACTGTTAAAGAGTCTCATACTAGTTGAACGAACCAGCTGTCCATTGCCCCAGGTTTCCAATGTTCCTCCAACTGATGTCAGTCCATGATGATTACTAACTTAAAAAATCACTTTATTTCTATTCATTGGTATGCCTTTAGAATGAATCTGAATATTCAAAGGGGTTACCGACTTTGACCGTAGAATAACTGAAAACCAGTAACCGCTGACTGTATAGTTCGTCTCAACCTAGGTCTCTTCAACAGTAGAATAAAACGGATGATTGTTGCTTCCTGGTCTTCAGCAGTTTTTTAGCTAACATGATGTATGAAGAAAGCTCTTGTGATCAGTATTCCATAATCACTAAACTAGAGGTCATCATTGGTGTATTTGATATCGAAAATGTGTGTGACTGTCTTCAAATAGGTTTAGACTATAGGATACATGTTAACATCACTAAAAAATCTATTTAAGTTTGAAGTAATAGCGATATACCACTCAAAAGTAGCATGATTCAATTCACGTGATTATATATTCAGATATAGACGTTTTATCCTAATTTACTGTTTGTTTATTTAAAGTCCAAGACTTCTTTAAAGTTGGAATTGGATTACGAAGAAAAGATTAATTTGATGGTGCACAAAAATAGTCAAAAATAATTTTTAATCGTTAATTAAAACTCCATTGGTCAATTTATGTGATAAGTTGAAAATGAAATGCCCTACACTTTAATCATTGAAACGTTCTGTTATTATTTTTTTGTTCAACTAACTATTGAAGCAAAATTCTTACAATAAGGGCTTCAAGAAATGCTACATATAACTTTTGGAAAGTATAGGGTGAAGTAATGAAACAGGGCGCTACTGAGTGAGCCAAGATGAAAAAGAAGTGGTCAAAGAAAAAAATTTCAACGGCTATACTTTTCTATTTCAATAATTTCTAAAGGTAGAAAACACTAACTCTACAAAATAGTTAGAAATGTTTGTAGTTCTGAACCATACCTGAAAATATCTCCAACTTCTTGGTTAAATGTTCGCTTAGAAGACATTAGCAAATTTATCAGGCATCAACCGAAGATAACGAAATACTGTTAACCTTGGTCACTCTACCACACGTCATAAACCGATCACTTCAAGCATTTCAATCATTCTCATACACAACAATTCTCCTACGGCCGTAAGCAATCGTTTGATGTAGATTTGGCTTTGATTATTAATCGTCGGTCTTTTAATTACTAGATTCGGTGACACAGGTACTACTAAATACATAAGGAGGAGAGGCTCTTAAAAGCTGACATAAATGTATTTCATCTTTGTATCAGTGCTTTCAAACAATGGTATAGAGTCTTAAAACAAGATGATCAGTATGGAAATGACATTTCTTATAGCTAAGTAGTTTTTCAACTGCCTAACTGTGGTTTCAACACGTTCTCCGTTGAAATCCGTCCAGTCAAGACCACAGGTGATTTGAACCAACGAAATATGCTACTAGTCAACTTGGATTGTTAGAAATCACTTAGGCTTATATTTGTGTTTCTCTAATTATGAAGAATTCGGCTGTGTGAACTGATGAACTTGACCTCAAATTAGCCAAATGACTATCCGTTGTTTAGATCCCTGTGATCTGGCTGGCGAAATCTGCAGATTAGATTGAATGGCTCCAAACTATTTAAGTTGTCCAAAAGTATATTTCGTCACTGTTAAGCTCTCTCTTTAAAGATGAAAATAAAATAGTGGTTGCTAGATATTTAAAGTAAACATAGCGTAATTCCTGATTATTGGGGTTCGGAACTCATAAGTGAGAGGCATCTTGAACCCTGAAAGAATTCATATTCGCTACAAGATATATTCAACATCAGTGTATGCCAAATTAACAGACGTTACTACTAAGCTACTCATTTCACGACTGATTCCATGTTAAGTATAATTATTTATACTTATGTAACAAATAATAAAAGTTTATGTGATATAGCATGCAGTCATACAGTATTAATTACTGTATTAGTGATGGTTTTGAGCACTGTTCATTGACTATAACTATATCGATAAAACGATAAGCTCCTCTGTTTTTATTCCCATATTTACAGTCTACATTTTCTAGCCCAGTAGCACTAAAATAATTAAGATATCTGGAAATCTCATCCATAAAATAATAATGTCACACTGCGTTTTAGATAATCTGCTATGTCTCACTGATGTGCACCAATGGGTACTTTATCTAGGACAGGAAATCCTTGTTGATCTACACAAAACACCTCAGATTGAAACAGATTATACTTCACTGATTTACTACATGGATTACTGAACGCATTACATGGCAATGGATAAACTTTGGGGAGATAAAGCAGTCAAGGTTGAGAAAACTTGCTGAGGAGTGACGATTTAGTTAAGTGAAACCTAAGTAGTAAATAGATAGATAGAAAATAGATATGATTTGTTTTCAATCTATTTGAGACAGCCATGGTTTGCAAATTAGTATTGATACTAGGTGACGATGGAAAGTGAAATGAAAATTTAGACCGCGGTTTGGTTTGAACCTGCAATCAACGGGTTTCTAGCCCGATGCTGTACCAAATGAGCTACAGTAAAGCTATAAAACCTTGTTCGCTTCTTTTAATTACCAACGAGAGATATAATAGTGTTACCTGCGTGGGTCAAACTGATGTTTCTAGTTACACAAAACCGACATCTAATAATTGACAGTGCCTCAGTGTGATCAATTGGAATTCACTAAACTACAAACAACACATGACTGAATTTCTGTTGAAGTATATACTAAAATAGAACAGGATAACATGCAGATGAATGATTCTTTCAGTTACTAGTTCATTCAGATATCAGATGACTAGTGACTATATATGAAACCTTTTCGAGGTTACTCAACTAGTGTAAGCTAATGCTAGTTAAATCTCATGATTATATCTTCCTAAACACTTATCCATCTATCAATAACACAGCAGTTATGACTAAAAAACTTACTATGGAGAAAATACAAGAAAGGAATGCATCATTCTTAATTATTCTCATACTACTTCACATATCAAGTGAAATAATCCATGTGAACAGTTGGAAGTATGTAGTTAATCATGGTATCTTACCCTTGGAGCTAGTGAGCTGTTAACTCTAAAAGTTGGCTTTAATAAATATTCATGATGTACAGATTGGCATTTAAATTTCCGAGAAGTTTAAACAAAAGTTAAATGATTGTGTAGAGATAAGCATATACAAGCTTGATGATGGTAGTCCAATTAGACAACCGGATTATCAATACTGATCATTAGAAAAACTATGTAGAAA